TCACCAAACGATGGCGACTATATGAAGTGAGATTCTTGTTATTTGATTGGAAACTGTTTCTCTACCTTGAAAGAAACTCTAGATTGAACATCTAACTCTGATACTGTAAGATTTTCTTCACAGGTTCATGTGCAAAGCCGGATACGCATTCAATCACCTCAAGCGATGCTTGATGAGGTCGAATGCATGGCGCATTCCTCAAGGATTGATCAATGCCGAGAGTTCTACCTTTTTAAACTTTATGCGGTTTGAAGGTGGGAAAAGTAAACATATTTGGGGACACGAAAGCACTGAATCAATGGCGCATCGATGCCAATATGCTAACGTACTATAAGTTTTCCCTGAGAACAACCTAGAGCTGAGAAAACTGACCAAAAAACTTCTTGATAACCCGGACGCAAGTCTCTGTCAAGCACATTTTTGTAAACGTTTGGTGACAGTTTGAACAAAACGTATAGGGGAATGATACAGAAATTCTACCAGAACATGGTCCGGGAGAGGCCCATTTATAGCCTCCACCAGACAGATAGATCTTCAGATCTTTTGATGTCTCTTGGCCGATTCATGACATACTTTATATCCTTACAAAACCGCCTCGACTCTATTGATTATGCTAAAACAACTCACATGATACATGGATATCTCAACTACTTCTTTGACATGGTCAATAGTGGATGGAGCTGGAACAGGCGGTCGAGACGATACATTCGATAAGAGCTGAGCCCAACGAACCATCAAAGAGTCTATGGCATCACCGAGAGGTGTCTTCTCGATTGGCCTATCATCAAAAATTATACTTGCCGGTTCCTCTTTTGTGACAGCTGAAAAAATCGCAAAAATTCATGCTTCGAGGCCACGATGTAAAAAAGAGACATACGTTTTATCATATCTGAAGGGGAAGACATCGGTGAATCTTCGCCTAAGACCAATTGCTTTAACTGCGACATAGCCGGTGAGGAACCTATAACGTCTGAAGGAATCTAAGACGAAAGAGAAGAAACAAAACCACTATTCTTTCGCAAAGGAATCATAAACAGCTGCTCGAATTTCCTTATTGAGCTCTTCAAATTCGAACGACAGATCTCTTGTATGTTGAGTGATATGCATAACTTTAAACGTCAGTCGGACGGGATTCGAACCCGCATTTCACCCTTTTCAGGGGAGCGCGTTATCCAATTGCACCAATGAGGCTCCAGTTCCAATATCACTCTTTTAGTTACACAACGTAGCGGATCTGACAGCAACCAATCGCCAGCGATTTGATCTGGCAAGCGATCGGCATTGAATCCAGTTACGCTAACAGATATCGTATATATCTAATCAACAAATTTAAGAGTGATATCATAACGGGACCACGGGAATCCCGGGGACCCCGGTAGTGTAACTGGTTAAGTACGCGCTCCTCCGGAAAGGGGGAATGGCGAGTTCGAATTCCGCCTGACTGACGTCTGAAGTTTTGCATATCACTCAACTTCAAAAGGATAGAGGACGAAGCCCTCGGAGTCGATCCATCCCTGAGGGATGCACCACGCATTCGACTTCAATTTTCAAGGTCATTTAAGGTGATTGAATCCTTCATATTTGGCCTTCACAATGACTCGCAGTGGCCTCCCGCTGTATCAAGTCAGTGCTGCTTATCCGCCAGGCGACCAGTCCGGTAGTACCAATTTACCGACCTCGAAAAGATGGACGGCTTGGTGAGCCATGCGATCGAGATCGAACCATTGACCTTCTGAACGATGCAGTGCACCTCTCACCTCTGCGCCACGTTCGTTCATATTCAACATTATTGGACACCAACTTGTAACATCATATAGCTACCAGGAGCGGTTCGATAAAAAAGAAAGAGAAAGATCAGCTGAAAAATACAGAGAGAATCAATATGAAGCCACCGACCGTCCATTGACATTGGCTGGTCCTCTGGCCACCACCACCACCACCGTACGTGCACTACTTCGTATTCGTGTCTCTCAACAATGAATGATCGGATCGATACCTATGAACATCACACGCGTTAAATTCCTTCATTAATGGTAAATAAGCGGTAGTCGACGGTAACAAACAAACAAACAAATAAACAAACATTAAACAGCTTACGGTAAATAAACAACTGTACGCTATACACTGTTCACGAGGAGAACGATAGGTAAACAACAGTATGAACCGTAAAACAAAACTCTGACGATGTCAGTCCGTAATTTTGCTGTCTGTGGTCACTTGGAATTCAATTCACAGTACTCCTTCCATCGATTCAAAAAATAAGAATTGAATAAAATTTGTAGATCCCAAACAACCCATGTTTATTATACTGTCTATTGATTGAAGACAGAATAGTTTTGAAAATTAATGATTTAGTAGAAAATTTTTTCAAAAATTTTGTCCCAGGTTCTAAAGCTTTTGAGTTTTCCAAAATTCAGTAATTTAGTAATAAAGTTTGACGTTTTCAAAGCTTTTCCAGAATATTTTTAGGTATTCTCGAAAGATTTGAAGTAAAGATTTCCGGGAAAGAATGAGGTGCGGGTTCGAGTCCCGCTGACGCGAAAGTTTTGCACATCACTCACATCAATGGGTATACACTTGTAATATCATACCACCGCTAGAGCGGTTTAAATAAAAAGCATTTCATTCTAAAGTTCAGTTGCAAAGTTTGGAGGTTCAAAATTTTCTAACTTCGAAGGTTCTGAAATTTTTAGGACTGATTCTTGAAAAAAATCTTTCCAAATTTAATGCTCAAAGTCAAAGATTTTTCTTTGAGGTTTTCAACATTTTTGCAAGTTTTTAATGTTAAGTAGTTTAGTAGTAAAGATAAAGCTTCAACGTTTAAAATTTTCAACATTCTTTGAAGAGATTTTCAAGGTTTCTTTCTACTTTTGAACATAATAATCAAGATTGTTTTAAATCACTAAACATTAATGGACAAATGGATGGCGCTCTCGACGTTGATCAACCCCTTGAGGGATGGGCCATGCATTCTTCATCGACTTCTTGGTTCGTTTCAGGGCGATTAAAAGCACTTGTGGTCTTTACAAATGACTCACGGTGGTCCCCCGCTGTATCGAGTCACTGCTCGTTATTCTCCCTAGACAAGTCGGGACCACTCCAGTAACAATTTATCGATCCTGGAGGGATAGTTTTTTTTGGAGGGACAATGACTCGCGAAGGCCTCTTGCTGATCCGAGTCAGTGCTGTTTATCCTCCCAGACAAGTCTGGAGACCTGTCTGGTACCAATTTACCGACCCCGGAGGGATGGATGGCTTGGTGAGCCATGAGCGCGAGATCGAACCATTGACCTAGTGTGCGACGCAGAGCACCTCTAACCACTGCGCCACATCCGCTCATTTTTTAAATCACTAAACATTAATGGACAAATGGATGGCGCTCTCGACGTTGATCAACCCCTTGATGGATGGGCCATGCATTCTTCATCGACTTCTTGGTTCGTTTCAGGCGATTAATTTTTTTAAATCACTAAACATTATGGACAAATGGATGGCGCTCTCGACGTTGATCAACCCCTTGAGGGATGGGCCATGCATTCTTCATCGACTTCTTGGTTCGTTTCAGGCCGATTATAGGATTATTGGCATATTGTAATCAAGATTGTTTTGAAATATTTAACTTCGAAATTTTCAGACTTTCTAAAGTTTTTTCTGAAGTTCGAAGCTTTTTTGAATTTTAGTAACGAGAAGATTAGTAATCTAGTAGTGAACTCTGACATTTTAGAGAATTTTTTCCAAAGTTCTACACGCCATTAAGTCTCTCTAAGTTTAGTAATTCCGAGTAAAGTTTAATGTTTTGAAGTTTAGAATCTTCAGAGTTTTGAACACAGGTTTCTCAAAAGCCTAAAAGGCTGTTTAGAGTGTTAGAAGTAAAGTTCAGTGTCTTAAGGTTCCAAACTGAAGGCTTTTCAAGTTACCAGTGCTGTTTTTTGAACTTCAAGTTTCTACGAATAGTATTAAAATTCAAAGTTTTCCTTCAAGTTTTGAGACTTTTTAGGACGTTCAAAGTTTGGCAGTTTAACAGTGAAGTTTGGAGCTTCAAAGTTTTGGAGTATTTTAAATCTTGAAAAAATTTCTCAAGGTTTTCTAAATACATTCAAAGTTTGACATCAAAGTTTGAAGTTGTAAAGTTCTATAACTCAAAACTATTTGGATTTTTGAAGTTTTTTTTAAAGTTTAAAGAATTCTTAAATTTAGTAAGGAGTAAAACTCAAGGTTTCCAAAGTACTATAAGCTCGATTCTTTCAAGTTTCGAAAGTTTTGGGGTTCATTAGTTTAGCAGTAAGGATTAAAGCTTCAAAATTCAAAGTTCTAAACGTTTTCAAGAAATTTTGAGGTTTTTTTTTTGGTTTTTGAACTCTAATAGTTGAGTTTGAGGTTTCGAAGTTCTAGAGTTTGAAATTTCTAAAGTTTTCAAAGTTATTTAACCTTAATAGTGAGAAAACTTCAAGTTTTAGAAGTCTCAAGGTTTCATTGAGTTTTGACGTTACAATGACTCTAAAGTTCAGTAGTTTTGTGGTAAAGTTTAGAGTTTTGAAGCTTAAAGTTCTCGAACTATACAAGGTTTTTTCAAAGTATACAACTATTCGAGCCTTAGTAGTAAAATTTAGAGTTTTTTCTATGAACTTTTGTGGTTTTTAAAGGTCAGAAATCCCTGAAACTTTAGAGGTTCTAGAGTGGTTTCTAAGAATAAAGTTGATTGGAATTCATGAAGAAATCGGTGTGAAAAGCTGACCATTCGATACCTTCCTCTTTAACAGGATTGAAAACCTCAACTAAGTGGTTTAAAAGACTTTTTTATTCTTCGCCGTCAAGATATTTTTAACTGTTATAAAATAATCATTGTCTAAATGCTTGATAATCGAACTTTCTAAGACACAAACAATCACTTTTCTCAAGATTTCTTGTTTTTACTGCTTTTTCGCAATGTTCTGATGTTTCAAACGTACCTGAAAAGTTTAGTGGTAAGCAAAAGAAAAACGAGTGGTAACGAAAACGCTGCCTCGCTGGTGTAGTAGTAGCACACGTCCTCGATACGGGCGAGACTCGGGTTCAACTCCCAATTGAGGTCGAATTTTTGCTCATCACTAAGTTCTCAAGTTCTCTTAGGTACATTAGGAACGTTGGGGAGATCAACTTTCTATCAGCCTCGGCATCAAAGTTAATTATCACTTAAATATGGAAACTCAGCTCTTTAGCTGGCACGAGGTTGGTAGACGACGTTGCTGATTGTTGTTAATAGATCGCTGTATGGATTGCTGGCTGACATTTCCGACCAACCTCATGCCAGCTAAGGAACTAAGCTTCCATATTTAACTGATACATTTGAAACATAACACTGCGAAAAGTCTTGTGTATTGTTATCATAATGGCTGTCAGCTTAACTGGGTTAACGAAGCGATAGCCGTTAGCTTTGACAGAGACATCGAAGAATGAGTGGTAGCGAAACCAATTTGTTTTCCGTTGTATCCCAAAGGGCCCAAGGTCGACGGTTCGATCTCGCGCTCATGGCTCACCAAACCATCCATACCACCGGGGATCGGTGAATTGGTAGCGACAAGTCACAGGTTTCTCTATAAGGATAATCGGCACTGATTCGATACAGCGGTAGGCCACTGAAGTAGAGTTATGCATTCACTCACCTTTAACGAAGTTAATACTTGAAGACGAATGCATAGCGGCGCATCCCTTAAGGATTGATCAAAATCTTGTAGGACGACAGATTTCACTATCAGATGAGACGTGCTCGTCTAACCATAATAAAAGCTATCGGGAGGCTAGCGTAGTGGTAAGTAATGCCGTTCCTCACCAATGATGTGCTGGTTGGGTATCATCCCACGAGCCCAATTTCTCCGTGGACAGAAAGCTGATACTAGACTTCTTGGGGATAATTTCTTGATTTCCATCTACTAGCATTATTCTCTTCCAGAGCTTGGCAAAGAAAGGAGAAGGGTCTTGGCACTGATCAACCTCTGAGCGATGTGGTGTGCATCTGAACACATCAAGATCGTTTGAGGTCACTAAATGCATGTTTAGTCAATAGAATGACTCCCGCTGACTTATAACGAATCGAATCAGCGCTTTATCCTCCAACACATTCCCTGGTACCAATCTCCAGACTACGGTTGAATCATAAGGTTGGCTGCCTTGGGAGCAGAATCGAACCAACGACCGCGTGGGTACCAGGACACCTCCATCCACTGCGCTACACGTTCCTTTGGCAGCAAATGAGAGTTATACCGATTTGCATTCGCCAGATTAGTCTGACAGATGTTTACTGAAAACAGCCAATACGGTCTGAGCATGGCCGAGAGAAAGGCATAGCAGGGGCCCCTATAGCACAGTGGGTAAGGCGTCAGCCAGCCCAGAAAGATTAATCGCGGGTTTCAAGCCACCTTAGTGAGTATCCGAGTTTTGCTCATATCTCAGCATACTTGTGATTCTATTTCACATCCATTCTGCCGTGAACAAAAAGTGACAGTAGATAAAACTCCATGGTAACGTATCCTTCGATGAGCTTCCATAATTAGCTCTTGCGATTGTCAGGCTCACAACGCTTACCAAAAACTTGGACAACTGATCACTGATGCATATAAACAATATGGGCAACAAGGCTACAATGAATTCAGTGGATGAGGAGGAAATAGTTAGTAAGGGTTATATTTAAGATAAGATAGCTTCTGTAACAGATTGGTGGGAGTTTGAGGAATGAGTACCATAAAAAGGATAGAAGGATAAAGCTCTCGGCGTTGATCAATCACTAAGGAATGCATCATGCATTCGTCTTCAATTTTTAACTTCGCTTGAGGTTATTGAATGCATATCTGGCCTTTACGATGACTCGCGGTGGCCTCCCGCTGAACCGAGTCAGTGCTGCTTATCCTCCCAGACAAGTCTGAGATCTGCCTGGTACCAATTTACCGACCACGGAGGGATGGATGGCTTGGTGAGCCATGAGCGCGAGATCGAACCATTGACCTCGTGTGCGAAGCAAAGCACCTCTAACCACTGCACCACATGCACTCTCTTTTGAGTGCCATATAAGACATAAATAAAAAGGGATAAAGGAGTAGTAGCATGGAAACAAACGAAAACAGATGCTTAGACGCGGAAATGAAGACAGATGTTAGTCGACTGGGCTTAGCGCCTTCTGATTAAAGTTTTTTTTTTTTTGCAAAAATTGCAGATGTCAACATACCCACAGAAACTATAAAGCATTTCTCAGCAGTTGGTTTTTCAAGTGTACAGCTGCAAGGAAACAGACATCTCAAAGCCCTTTTTGATGAATTGGCAAAAAATTTTCCAAACTTTTCCGTTTTCGTTGATTATTTTTCATGCACTTAAGTATTTATTGTTACAATCGTTCAGAGCACCTTGCAGTTATTTCGATACATAACATTTCCACATTTATAGTAAACATGATAAAGATACTATCCAAAGAGCAATTGCGTGCGCAAACACTCTGAGTTAGGTGAAAATTTCACTTGACCTGGAGTGTAAAACGTTCGTCTTCATTAACTCTCTGTAGGGAGAGTAGGGCTCCCGAGACAATTGAGTAGTAAAAAAGCGAAAGACGACGGCTTCTGCCCGACTGACAAGTCTGTAAGGACGAAACACGTGTATCGAACTACAAGATCCCTTAGCAGACCACTTGACAAGTTGGTTCAAATAATAAAAAAGGATTTGCACATTTGTTTTAGAATGGGATTGCCCCGACTGCAGAAACGATTGTTGGTGCTAAACTAGTATCGTTTGGGCCTAAGTGCTGCCGAGACTTTCCTCC